ACCATATGAAACCGCCCATTCCTGAATAGAAGCAAGATCTCTATTTAAAGCATCAATGGTATCCAGAGCATCGTCGATAGAGAAGTGCCTATAGATTTGAAGGTTATCTGCATAAAGATGAAAAGAAGAGGAAATAACGGTAGAGATATTATTAATAAAAATAGAGAAAAGTAAAGGCTGACAAATTTAGCCAATCAGAAGAAGAAGAATTGAATTCTCAGTGTCTTGGCTTCTCTCAATATATATCACTACGCCCTGAGAGCGTTCAAAAAGATATGATCAGAACCAAAAAATGGCAGAGGCAGAAATGTTAAGCGAGAGGAGAGTACTAAGCAAAATGTCAAAGTCAACGCAATTGAAGGCACTGCTAAAATCCAGTAGAACCAAGGCTGTAAGTTTCGTATCCATAGCATGGCGAATATCTTCAGTTATGTTCAACAGTGCACCAACTGTGCTGTAAGCAGGGCGGAAACCAGACACAAAAGAGAGTTAGACAAGAGAAAAGAGTAAAGTTGTTGGTGAGTGACAGATTCAAGTACCTTAGAGAGAATAGGGAGAATAGAAATAGGACGATATTGACTAAGTGAAGAAGGATTGTGAGTTTTATGAAGAGGTATGACAGGAGCTCTTTTCTAAGATGCAGGAAAGACATTGTTTTCCAAAGAGAAATTTATAATGTGAGTAATTACTAGAACAATGTCCTCCAGAACAGGAAGTAACATGTCAAGACTTATGCCATCACTTCCAATCGCCTTCGTGGAGATGGATTTAATACATTTTGTAATATTTTCCTCAGAGACTACGCTGAAGGAAAAGGGGGGGGCAGTCAGATGAGTTATTAATACGTGATAAAAAGGAAAGCGTGTCAGACTTAGTTGTCATGTCTAAAGTAAGAGAAAGTGAGGAGAAATGCCTATTGAGAACATTCAGATCCACGATGCTCTGGCTAGCCTCTTCCGACTTACCCACACCTAGTGACTTTAAAAAACCCCACAAATGCTTTTGATTAAGACTTTCTATTTGGCTGTGAATATATTTACGTTTAGAATCTCTACACATTCTGTTGCAAACATTGCGCCAGCTTTTATAAATTCGTAAATTTTCAGGAGAAGGGGCTCCTTTCTGTCTACTTTTGGCCTTATCTCGCTTTGCCATAAGTTTTCGGATATCTGAGGTTAACCAGGAGGCAGGCACATGTTTCACATGAACTGGACGAACCGAAGCGTGTACGTCATAAATGTCAATAAGAGCAGAAGTGAAGTAGTCTACCATATCATCCACATTACTTCCACGCAACAGCGGTGACCAATTCTTGTTTCTTACATCATTTCTCAAACGTTCAAGAACCATATGCTTAAAGTTGCGCAGAAGTCGTATCCGTGGTTTAATTTTGGGAGGGTGCACTTGAAGCGAAACATAAATTAAATCGTGATAAGAAAAAGGAGCGGTAATTTGTCCATGAGTACTAACTAGGTCAGGATGAGAGACAATCATAACATCTAAAGGGGAAGGTTTACAGTTGGGGAAATAATGAGTGCGGGACGTCATGTCAAGAACGTGAAGATTAAGGGATAACAAGAGATAAAGAAGTTTATTTGCTCTAATGTCCTTTTTCAACAAACATGTGTTGAGATCACCTATCAGTACAACGTGATCAAAAGCAGGAATCAGGTTTTCAATGGTATTTTCCAAACTGTTGAAATAATCTATCTGATCACTTGGACAATATAAAGCACCTCTCTACAAGAACTTTTTTATGGTGAGTGACTACTTCAATAAATATATATTCAATAGAGCACGTATATTTAGATGGCGAATAAGTGATTATCCTGGCAGGTATGTGATTACGCAGATAAATACCTACACCACCACCACCTATGTCAATGCGATCGTTGCGAAAAACCCTGGGAGAAAGCAACCTGAAGAAGAGATTGAAGGTTTTAACCAAGTTTCAGAGATCAGAATACAGTCAACCACGCCACTGCACAAGAAGATCAGTATGATGTACTGGAATACTTGGCGCGTTTATATGCACGAAGGTAAGAGAATTATAAGTATAGAAAAGAAAAGAGGATATAAGATGCCACCCTGATGAACACCGGCATTAATATCACACCACGAAGAGACCCTATCGTCAATATGGATACGTTGTCGGCGTCCTAGCAGGTAACTTCGTAACCAGTCAATTGCAGCTGTAGATATATTGAGAGAAGCCAAGACACTGAGAAGTAAGTCAAAATCAACCGAGTTAAAGGCATTACCAAAATATAGCAACGCCAACAACGTAAACTGACGATTTTCTATTCCCCGCCGAATGTCATCAGTAATCTTAATCAGTGCAGTAGCAGTGCTATGGCTCTTACGGAAACCAGATTAAACGAATTAATAAGGTAATTTGAAATGTGAAAGGCCATTAATTGCTGGTTTATAAGTTTTTCAAGGACTTTGGAGAGTCCTTGACTATTATTTTAGTCCAAAAGAGAAAATAAAATCATTTACTTGCTCTATTGCTCGCTAATATAATAAAATATTATTATATATTATAATATAATATTATATAATATTATATATATAATATATATAGGTATGTTTTAAAATGATAATAAACGTTATTAAAACGTGTTGGCACGTTACTGAAATCCAACCCAATTTGAAATACAGATGAGAAAACGTTCTGAAGTTTACACAAAACTTAATCGAAAACGTTATCTACACAAAATTCTTTGATAGAAACGTTAGCGCAGATCACTTTAGCATAAACGCCATCTAGTATAACAAAGCTTAAATTTCTTACTACATTTTATTTCAATACTCACTACTCTAGTATCAATACTTTAAGATTTAAAATGAAATGGAGAAATTTGACAGTTCTGTATAACCTGATGTGCTGTTAACTGTACGGCAAAATATTATCTATATCGGCAGCACTTGACACTATGTTATTTCTAAAAATTCTTGAATGGAAAAATTGTCTCTGGAGTTATACAATAAAATGAAGATTTACCTCACTATAAAAAAATGAACATGAAGGTAAGTGATTTTTAAAATAAATAAATCCACATTTAGATTCCAATAAAAAATATTTCATTTTCCGAGTAACTTAGTGGTGTAATGGATAAGCGCCGCGGCCAGCGGTCGTTGTAGTTTAGCAATTTTCGTAAAGGTCAGCCCAAGGATGGGTGACCAAAAATGAGTATCTCAAGCTACTCTGTGACTCGGAAGGCACATAAAGCCCGGATACCTCCAATATATTTTTATCAGAGTCTGGAGCTAGGTCACGATCCTGTCTTTGTCATATCCTGCGACATTCGTACGCTGAAAACGAGGCAAAAAATACGATTTTCAGTAATGAGCGTTTCAAGTTCAAGAAATTGTAATCCGCCTCTCTAAACAGCGTATCGTTACTACGCCACCTAGCACTTTCTATGCAAACTATGCTCACAGGGATATTTGCATTTTAAAGTTTATACACAAAGAAATATGTTGCCAAAAGTAAAAAATACGTCGTTTTTGGTAAGTGACATTGTCATTCTCAACGTGCGTATCCATAAAACTATAAAAAACCCTTTGCTGCTGCACCTTCGCACTGTACTCCTACATTTATCTCACTGAACTTAATCAAGTAATCGTTTTCCGTTGCTCAGTCACCCTACTTTCTTTAATTTATTGTATAACCTAAAAATTCAAATACATGTATCACAATACAATGCGACATCAGCGCCTCTTACTGAGACATACGTAACTATTTTACGATATGATCACTTACTCTTGGCCACATCATGAAGAAGTCATACTATCAGCCGCCCATATTGTTAAACGCAAATCATTCAAGGCCTGGCCAGATGCCACATCATGATGTGAGGTAAATCTTAGGTTAAGACCTATAAATCCTCAATAAATTAATTACTGATGAAACGAAAAACACAAATAATTGCAATTTCTTTAATCTAAACTTGGAGCTCGGTGGCGTAGTGGATAAGCGCCGCGGCCCGCGATCGTAGTCGTTAAGCAACTTTCGCAAGGGTCGGTCACGGGATGGGTGACCAAAAAATTATTATCTCGAGCTACTCCGTGCTTCGGAAGGCACGTTAAGCCGTTGGTCCCGGCTGCATTTGCAGTCGTTAATACCCTCCAATCCGCATTGGGCCAGCGTGGAGGGTCATGGCCCATCCTTCTTAACCATCCATAAGGAAGGCCTGAGCCCCTGCAGTGGGGACGTAAAAGGGCTGATGATGATGATGAAACTTGGAGCAACATTTTAATGTTTTTGATTTAAAGTCTGCACAAAATTCTTTGATCAAAATAATAGTACGATTTAGAATATACTCGCCATCAGCTAGCTGAAAAAATATTCTAGGTAAGTTTTCTATGCAAAAAAAAACTGCGATTTAGAATTCATTTGACGCCATCTAGTAGTTCACATATATATATATATATATATATCTAAAAATAATTTTTATTTCGTAAACAAAATTACTTGAATTCGACTTTTTTATCCATTAAAATTTCAAAAATTGAATATATACACAAATACCACTTTTCATCGCTATACAATAAAATATTTCATAAATAATATTTGGTAATTTTATTACAATGACAAATCAGATTGTAAACAATGGTTGCTATTTGATTCCCCATTAAATCTTTTACTCCCATTTTTATTCCTTTAAGTGCTAGTTTTCGGGATAAAATATACCCATTACCGTCCTGGGGTTATAAACTACCCAAATACCAATTTTCATTGACAAAGGTCCATAAACAAAGAAGTTTCATACAAACTTTTCACCCTTTTTGACCCCCTTCGGGATGGAATTTCCAAAAATCCGTTCTTAGTATACCTCTACGTATTAAGGGGAATGTTCTCTCCAAATTTCAAGTTTCTATGACCAGCGGTTTATGCTGTGCGTTGTCTGTCAGTCAGTAAGTCAGGACGTCTCCTTTTATATATGTATAGATAAATTGAAATTATCAAACACAAAAGCTACGTAAATATGTTTTCTTTATGTAGAATCTCATAATGACATATTTCTTCGTTTTTTATCGTTTAACAATGCCTGAATGTTGCGCAATAAATTCAGCTACCGTATAAAACCAATCTATCGTCACCGCTGCGATATTTTGGATTAATATTAAGGTAGAACATTGTAATGACTCTTGTAAGTATTCTGTTATATCCTCCATGTTTGGGATTTGATACCATGTATTGAAATTAATTTATCTGAGTCCAAATAAATAACTTTTATAATAGTAACAATTTAATAATAAGAAATTTTGTTTTCTTTCTGTCTACATTAATTTTGAAAAATAATTTTATTACAGACAGCAAAACATCAATGGATTACTATAGTGATTTTAATTATCATGAAATCATTCCACGTACATTCGAAGATACCACCAAATGTTCCTCAACTTCAGGTTTATTCGGAAAATGAACCTTTGAAAATCGTTATAGACCTACCGTCATTGGATGACGCAGTCACGGAAACGACGACAATGAGAGAGATACCATTAGCTGTGCCAATTCCAATGCCGGCTGCAGTACAGATGGCAGTGCCAGCTATCCCTGCCCCAGAATTTTGTCAAGAAAAACATTGTCCAGCGTGTCCACCCTGCTTGTGCGCTCCGTCGTGCACACCATCATTCTTTTCTTATTGTTCTCGTTGTCATCAAAAATGTAGGTGTCGTAAAATAGAAGACGTTCCCCAACCTATGCCTTTGAACCCACCTAAACCACTACCGGGACCAGTATTCGCGCTGCCAGCACCATTGGCAACACCTTTAGTAGTATTACCACATAACGTTTACTCATTGCACACTCAAGGATTATTAAATTATTTTGCCAGACAAACGTAATACTTATAAAGAATGTTTATGTTAACTGATTATTTAGTTTTATTCGTTATTTTGTGATAAAATATATACAGTGAGGAATATAAATGCTTTTATTGTTCTTATTTCTGAAAAACGTAAAACTAGTGACCCGACCTGACTTTAATTGGGTGGGATATCATCTATAAAAATCTCCCATTCCTCTAACAATCATCTGCATTACTTTATCCATGGTAAATATCCTACAAAATCTTTTCGGTCGTTTTTTTATCTATATATTGCCTGAATCTATCTGAATTCACAAAATATCTATCCAAAATTTCAGGGTCAAATATTATTTTGTGGAAAATATGATAGGATTAAACGATAATTTGTCATTATGTGATATTATACATTCATAATAAATATATTTATCACTATTTTTAAATAAACACACTCGATGAGGTATGAAATGCGACGTAATAAAAAACAAGTGTAGAACATTATTGTTGAGTAGTAAAGTTACGAAATAAAAGGTTATTCTTTTTCATCTTACTACAAATATACAACGATCATGTAATACAAGAGCTTGGCGAGCAGTATAAAATGGAATTTCGGTCATGAAAAACACAACAATTCCGAATCAATTTTATTGACTGCCACATTATGGCCTCTGTAAGTAGCGACGTAATAGGTTCATACAGTTCACAATTTGTAAGAGTTTCATTACATAAAGTTTTTCATATTTAATGTTAAATGAAACAGCGATAATTCCAATGTTCAAAATTTTGCTTGCAGCTATTTAAACAAAAATGGACTATCGTAACAATCTTTTTACGGTTGTTCCAACAAATAAACTCCCAGATACCGATGCCAATGATCGGAATACCAGGGCCACAAATCTTTGCCATGCCACCTCCACCGATACACGTCGCAGTTGCAATACCAGTAGAGATCAAGAAAACGACGAGAAAAACTACAACGACGACTACAACAGAAAAGACATTAGCATTTGCCGTTCCTGTACCGATGCCAATGGCCTTTGGTATGCCAGTAGCTCCTCCTCCTCCTCCTCCTATGCCAATCGTCCCTCCTCCTCCTATGCCAATCGTTCCTCCTCCAGTAGTAGTTGTACCTTTCCCGCCAATTAGACGACATCCAATCATTCGTCCACCTTACACTGAGTCATCGAGTTCAGAGTCCTGTGGTAGATGTAGTGGTAGTAGAAGTAGTAGTGACAGTAGTTCCTCTGATTGTTCTTATCGCAGAAAACGTTATAGACGTCAAAAAGGAAAATACATGGGAATAAAAGGTAAAAAGATGAGAAAAGGGAGAAAACATATCGGTAAACTTAATAAAAGAAGAAACTTTGTAGATTACAGTAGTTCAAAAAACAATGAATTCGCAAAACCAGTACTTACTTACATATCAAAGAACGGTAAAGTGAAAATTAAAAAGCACATCACTCATGATCAAGCGGAAAGTTTATTAAATGATAATGAAACAGAAGAGGAAAACAGGAATCAAGGTAGAAGAGTGCAAATTGTGTCAAGGAAAACTTCTGATGATCCATCTAGAGTATTAGTTGTGTCTAGTAGCGATGGAGAAGCGCAGCCCCAGATAGGACGCCATATGGTTCTAAGGTCTGGTGCTTCAAGTCATGTTCTTAGTGAGGGTAAAAAGCAACTCGTGTTTAAGCCTCCAGATTTCAAGAAAATAGCAAATTTGTCTGTGTCGTTTCAAGTTGTTTAATGTTACTACTTAAATTTTTGTATTTTTTAAAGATTTTTTTTATTATAAGAACAATAAAAAAAGTTAAACTATAAACTTTAATCGTCTTAATTTCTTCAAGAATAAGTTATATAATCAACATGTAACAATGGTGCTATTCATGATTATCGAACAATCACTCTAACATGCTTTGAATTGTCGATATGAACACTATTCGCGTGTTCGGCGTCGAACTATTAGCAGATTCGATGGGTATACGATGTATCTGGGTTCTAATGGTACTCTTAGGGCACAGTTTTTTTGTTAAAGGAAATGAAGTTGAATCACTGATGAAAAAAATATCGCCAGCAGCAAATATCATACAGTCAACATTGACTGAAATGTTTAAACAAGATTTAAATTTGAAGAACAGAGAAACAGCCAAAAATGTTTGTTGTGCTTCTGGAACATGCATTTGCACCTATCCAGCAATGCCAGTACCAATGCCAATTATGCCGATGGTGCAGCCGCCAGTAATAATTCCAGCAAGAACTGTCTTCGAACCGGTTATACACGATCACCCACCCTTACATAAGATCCTGGATATAATAAAAAGGGATAAAAGAAGAAGTAAAAGGAAAAGAAGACCAATAATTATTAGCAGTAGTTCCAGCAGTGACAGTAGAAGTACGAATTCTGATGAGAGCGATATTTTTTATTACGAAGATAATATTAACATACATGGGTAAATTTGTGAAATGACCCAGTTAGTAAAAAAGTTTGGTAATATAGTTTAAATAAAATGTTAAGACATAACTTTAATAAATTATATTTGTAACGTTTTTATACAAGTCTTTTTAAAATTCTACTAATATACATTCCACCTTTTAAAATAATGTGATTTATTCTACAAACATAGAAAATGCGTCCCTGTTATTTAAAACCATTATAAAATTTGATCTTTTCATAGAAGTGAAATAATACAAGCGCACCGTATATACATACATCACCCAAAATGTGAAAAAACATAAAATAATAATAAAATAGATTACTACTAAATAGGTACACACCTTATGAATGTTATTATATCACAGATGATTTTATATTTTATTATTTCAATATTAGTAAATTGTTTATTCGAGCATATTCATAATTAATTTGACACAATGGTTATTATTTTAAGAATTGAAACAAATGTACATATATGCCTCCGTAAAATTGTAAACATCGTCAGTTTGTAATCTCTTTCATTACAATATAGACTTAGATCTTAATTTAGTTGGATTGTAATAATTCTAGTTAGATTAAAAACTATCTGCGATTACATTTACGGTGACATTAACGTAACTGTAATGCGGTGGACATAGCCTAGGTATGTTTACCAGCTTGCTATCCTTATGTTTCAGTTGTCTCCCGTATACGTAAGTATTATTAGCAAGAAGAATTGGACTTACTTTCATGTAATTTAGAACATAAGTAAAAAAGTATTTAAAGTAGTAGTTACTCTAGTAATGACTAGTTATTTTTATTCGATTTGCAATTTCTGTTTATTGGTAGGCAAATTAATGCATGATACTGCAATGAACAAATTTATGGAAGAATATAATTTTCCCTCTAAGAGATACGTGACCATCGACAGACATACTTAACCATTTTGACATCGTTTTGAAATACGTCAACATACTGATTTACAAAAGTATAGAACGAGTATCAGAGTTTGAATTTATTTAGTCTCAAAATTCTCTATCATAATGACAGCAAAGGCACAGCCGAAGGTATCACATGTACTTTGCCACCTTCAGGGGTCTGAAATATTATCGCTCTGGAGTATATCCAGTCACACAGGAACAGATGGATGCTATATCCCACAAGGAAAAAGCCAACGAGGATGACCACAGCCACGCTCCCCCACAGGGCATACGGTACCACCAGATACAGCAACTTCAAATCGTGTTTATGTTGGTCGTTGAGTTCTAGTTGCATCTGAAACAAAAACATTACTTCATTTTAGATGGTAATTTAAATTCAAACAACTACATGTTCGTAAGAATAATAAGGTTACAATCATGTGGTGTATAATTGAAATATTCAATTATATATCACCATTATATAGGTATTACATATAATGTAACGGACATCTCTAATAGAGTTGTGTATAGCTCGTAAAATATAATTAATTAATAATGTACTTATAGGAGTTAGGTATAACAGGGTATAATTAATAAATAAGTCAGATAGATTATTTAAGAGTATTAAATACGTATTTTTTTATTTTTTGCCTAATAAATAAATAAATGCGGCTGCGACATGGTGAGTTGAAATGTCGCATGACGTCATGCTTTTGTTAATTTTCTACAAAACTGTATTAAGTGATTTCTTGTTTAAAATGAAGCAATAAATACGTATATAAAATGTCAAATACGTATATAATATTTTAGTATTATCTGACTGACAGACTAAATAATTTTTTATCCTGTCGTCGTCCCTATTGCGTAATGAACCTATTCTACGTCACGGTTTGGATGCCTTTCTAGATGCGATTCCATTTAGCTGTTCGTTTATTTCATTAATAGACCGATAGTATTCTTCTTCATTTTATAAAAAAAAACCTACATTCTTTGTGTGAAGTGTTTCTATAATATTATTCTTCTTTAAAAAAAATACATACTTCGCCCTCCATAAAACTGATATCAAATACTATGTTGACTTGAACTGAGAATGTATCAAGATTCTTTGTGTAAAGTGTTTCTATAATATTATTCTTCTTTAAAAAAAATACATACTTCACCCCCCATAAAATTGATATCAAATACTAATGGAGTAAATTAGATAGGTTCTATAACCAATTTTTAAAGTACATGGATAACATTTTCTGCTTAAAAATATCTTACCATTTTAAAGTGACATACAGGCACCACCATGTCGGAGAAGCGTCCTGTCTCAGTATTGAAGTCAATATGTTTCACTACGATGTTGACTTGAACTGAGAATTTAGTCTCTAATGCCATGCCGAGTTTCTGAAAAAAGGAAATAGTTCCTTAGAGATGGGGGTTTTATTTATTCTTAAATTATCCAGCTTGAGAAACTCGCGCCGCCGCCATTTCCGCATCCTATGTAGTAACGGTATTTTCTAGTTTTCAGTTTTGGCTCTTACTGCTTAGGGCTGGGCGTCAAGACCAAAGAGAAAATGAGTTGAAATCAACGCCCGTGCCCATGAGATAGAGGGCATAGGAACTAGATAACTCGCAAATCAGTAATGTAATTATATTTGGTGTACAAGCCTTCTTAACTGTATGTTTTTGAACATAGAACTAAGTATTTTCTATTTTTTTTATTTTATTTTAAATTCAAATTGATAAATATGCATTATAGTGTTATTTATGGGTCAATCGACTTACACATGTGAAGAATACGAAGTTTTGAAGAAATTCAGCATTAACAGATGGCAAAGGTACAAGTGATTCTATAAGATTTTTCATTTTTTGTACGGAATTATAAAAATGCCTTTAAGTCCATTGCGCTACGGAATACACGGGAGTGGTCAAGGGTTGTGGTAAAGGTAGGGCATGTTTGGTAATTGATGACGTCGTTCGGCGTTCCTCTATGTTTTAGTACGAGATAATCGAAATTATACTTCTTTCTATAGTTCAATTGATGCAGCTGAGACCAACGGTTTAAATTTGTAAATAAATATAAATAATAAAAAAGGGATTTCCTAGCACTGAGAAATCGATATGATATATTTGGTCAGCCAACTGATGATGGGTTTTAGAAAAATTGATGATCAACCTCCGTAACAGCAGACAGCACGCCATTGACTTCCTCAAGACATTTGTTAATCTTTAAATATTGCAATTGCAGCGCATTAAATAGTTAATGATAACCTCTAAAATGTAAAGTACCTAATTACTTACTGGCTCAATAACGAATTCACTGCCGTGTTTCTTTTCATCTGGCTTGATACCTTCGACGCGTGAATACAGTGATGGGTCAGCATAGAGGAAATGTGCGTTTGATATAGCAAGAGGTAATTCTGAAATAAGAAACAAAAACAACTAAAGTCGTAATTAATGATCGTGTTGCCAATACACATCATAGAATTTAAATGGAGTTTAAAATATGTTGTGTAGTCTAGAATATAGATAAAACTTACTGTAAAAACAAGGCGACAAATCAGACACTCCATCTATGCAAATACCTCCCGAACATAGACATTCTGTATCATTGTTGTAACTGTAGGCATCTTCTCTGATCCTGTACGAGTGTCCCTGAACTCCGTGTTCGTAGGTCTTCACGCCCTGATACTCGAGAGGTAAGAAGCGGCAGAGTACGTTTCTGAAGATCTTGACAGGAGCACCCCTAGGAAAGTCGATGGGATAACCGATGCCTTCATACACGTCAGTGAAAGTGTTGCAGTTTGACCTGATAATAATATGGGTAATAAATAAAAAAAAATTCACTACAACCACAAATTGAAATTATTGATAAAAAAACTAATGCAATATGTTTTGAGCTACAAACATGCCACCGTTTTTATTTGTTAACTAAAAGTAAGAAGAACAAAGTAAGAAATTATATTATTAAAGGCTTACCTGCGATTGGGTTCCTCATACTCCCAAGCTTTGAGTCCCGGTACGGAGTTCATAGATTTGATTTTGAATCTTTCGTCACTGTTGGTTTTAACCTCGATTTGATATTCGACATTTTTGTCGTAGAGCTAAAAACAAAAGATAAAATTACCATTAAAGAAAATCTCATTTGCATACGAATATGTGCCTCTGTCTGCATGAAACCTTGCAGTCGCTTTCAGCCAATGCGTTGCGTAGACAAATATGCAATACGAGCTACAATATTCTCGCGGCGTCATATGGTCAATTTAGACCTATGATCTAATTAAAATAATCTTACACACTCTACATTAGTCTATCTATGTATACAATAAAGCAATTTTCATATATTGTATATACAGACCTATTCTAGAGGAAGGTTTATGTATAATACAGAAACAACGCAGGCAAAGCCGCTTGCGTAAAGATGGTATTTTATATAAGTTACGCCATTAATTAGCCATGTTCTCGGCGTCGGACTTCGGTATTTTTATAATTGTAAATTGATACATATTATTGTATATTGTATATTGATACACGACATTTTTTTATGCACCACCCGCAAAGGATTTGGCGTATAGATACATGATTCAACAACTTACCCTATCCAGCAAACCTAGGGTGTTGAAACTGATCCAACCCGGTAGTACCGTATTCCCTAACTTGATGAGTGGCTCATCGTATCCCCACAGAAACTCCTCAGCGGTCTGGTTGACTATGGCCTTCGTGTTGAGATGAGTCAGCAGCAGACTGAACGCCAGTCGGGTGAAATATGGATACGTCGTGATCATCGATGCCATAGTCTGGAAATTATTGTTAACCTTTATTTAATAAACTTTGAAAAAAGTTTTAGGAATTTTTATACATTATGCAATCTATTTATCAAAATCAATAACATCATTATTAAAAAAAAACAGGCGTTAACTTGCGATAGTTCATTGCTATAATTGTAAAACTATGATATCTAGCTACTTCCACCCAAGAATTTGTAATGAATTTGAATATGCGCCGCGGCACGCGATCGTTGTCATTAAGCAACTTTCGCAAGGGTCGGTCACGGGATGGGTGACCAAAAAATTACTATCTCAAGCTACTCCGTGCTTCGGAAGGCACGCGAAACCGTTGGTCCCGGCTGCATTTCTAGTCGTTAATACCCGCCAATCCGCATTGGGCCAGCGTGGAAGGTCGTGGCCCATGTTCCTTAACCATCCATAAAAAAGGCCTGAGCCCCTGCAGTGGAGACGAAATAAAGGGCTGATGATGATGATGACGATGATGATAGCTCTAAAGGATAGTAGACCTGAGTATTCGATATAAATTTCAGCTTGATATCTTCACGCGTTTCTGAGAAAAGGGTCTTGACAGACAAATAGACAGGCGGACAACAAAGTGATGAACTAGCTTCTGAGACATAAGTTACTTAAATTCAGAAGAAAGGATTTCATTAATATGTTATGTGGTGAATGTTGCTATAAAGATTTCATATTCATTTACTTTTTTGTGTATGCAATATTTATTAAAATTTATGTGCTTACATAATAAGGCACACATATTTTTACATAGTTGTGATACAGGAATTTGTAAAAATTAAATAAAACCTGTTTATTGTAAAGGTCGTTGAGAGGTAGAGTCGTTACGTTTATCCTAACCCAGTCAATAAAAAGAAATTTGTTCAGTGACGTTAAAGTAACAGGTTTTATAATAGTTTACGATGTGCTTAAACATTTGTATTATGCTAATAAACACGATGAATAAAGTTAAAGAAAAATGTGAAAACAAAGTGAACCTAATGAAATAACAGCAGAGAAATGGACCGTTACTGCTGTCAGTGGAAAAATACTGTTGCCTAAGGTTTTCCTAGTATCAAAGATATACTCTTATTTATTTTGCCAATGTTACTATGAATCTTGTTTTTATGACCCTACATCAAACCAAGTCTACGCGCTGAATTACATAGTCAACATAACCCAAATTAAGTTTATAAAATTAACTAGCTTTCGCCAGCGGCTTCGCCCGCGTGGACCCTAGGGAAATGTTTAGTGGGATAAAAAGTATCCTATTATCTAAGTCAGCTAACACCCTATCTGTATACCAAATTTCATCAAAATCCGTTCAGTAGTTTCGGCGTGATTGACGTTCAAACATCCAAACAAAGAAACTTTCACATTTATAATATTAATAGAATGGTAGTGTCAATAATGTTGAATTAAAGTTTAAGGTTGGGATATCTAAAATTGGAGTCGAAGCACATATATGTGAGGAGAATATTAATCGCCATTGTGAGAACAATTAATGAGACAATGGAGACAGCTAAAGGCATATTACGTGAAATATGCTTCTAAGAACTTTTTAATTGGTAGAAAATCATTACGAATATTAAATGTAAAATAAGCCACAAGACAATAATACTGCCGTCGTATAAGAGAAGGGCGAATAACTAACATTTTTTACATATTTAGAATCAGAAAAAAAGGCGCATATGCTAAATTTTTTGTAGAATTTTATCTTCAAGGAATTCGGAGATACAAAAGGCACAAATGAGACTAATTTTAATGTTTTATAGAATGAAATGGCACATTTATTTACTATTATATTGAAAAGGCACAAATACGTAGATGTGAATTTTAGATCATACAGATTTTTTCTAAAATCTAACTACAAGTGCCTTTAATAATTAGGAGTATAAAATATTTCCTGTAAGTAAATTAACAATACATAATTAGAATAAGCTCTAATAAAGTAGCTTAATAAAGGTTCAAAACAAAAATGTATGCTCCTGTTAATATAGATTTATTTTTCATACTGTGATTTATAGTAACTATTATTTTTAGATTTTTAAGTTAAGGGTCCAACCTATTACTAAAAATAAAAAATAAATATTTAAATTAACTATAATAGTGTAATTGAATTTAAGTTTGCACTTTTTGTTTCTAATTCATAAGTTCTATTTTTAACAAATCAAAATTGTAGGTAGATGCTTATCCCTAATAATTTATTTTGTAATTTATAAATGACTATTAAATATTAAAAAACATTTTTTTTTAAATGTTGGAGTCCTAGAAGAAAATTTCTTGTTTTATTTCAATTATTTGGATAAGCTACTAAAATAGCATCAGAAATAAATATGTTTTAATAGCTCATTTTACATGATTAATTGTTTTTTATTTTTTATTAGACAAATGTACCCTTTCTTGGACTCAAAGATCATGAAATATTAACAAGTAAGTTAAAAATTTGGTTAACTATGCCGTTTCTTTGTAGTGAATGGTATTATTATTTTTTGGATTTTGGGTTTTTTGCATTTATTTGATAATTATTATAAAAACAAAAAAGTAAAAGTAAAAAAGTAGTATTAACCTTCCCGCATATATCATCAGTGTTTTTTTCTTTTAAGATATAGGTTTCCACAGTCTGGAGCAGAATATGGTAAAAACTTTAATCCAATTATCTAAGTTTGGCCAAAATGATAGATGTGCCCTTATGTAGTAACACGGCAGAATAATATACTTATCACTTTAAAACAATAATAATATAAGAGAGACCTGAAGGCTGGAAAACTTCCAGCCTTATTTTAGACTTCTCTGTAGTTACCCACATAACTGTTAGTTTACTTTAGCACTTGTTACCCTTACTTTTAAGAATATATTTTAAGAAAGAAATAAAATAAAATATATTATTTATTAAATTAACGCTGAATATCCTTATATATTTTATCACCGGCTTCAAATTTGAATGATAAACACTTAGATCTCTACATACTGTACTACTACTACTGTATGCTCTTTGGTGGTGCATGTAGTGCCTTAGTTTCAGATTTCTGTGACACAAGAACTACTTCTACATCGCACTATTGGGTTTGAATAATGTAATGTAGGTATATGACGAATACTTTGTGTAGGTTCAACTATGAGTACATTGATATTATAAAGAATAAAGTTTAATTGTTTATTAGCTAAAATTACTGGACGAAATTTTCAAAATCCCTTCACCTACTTTAAGCTGCGTCACACGCGGTTGACATACTTATTTACACGGGTGAAGTCGCGAGAAAACAGCCAGTAAATCGAAAAGAAAAGTGGGCCTCAATTTTCGCTAGGGTCGGTCACGGGATGGCTGACTAAAAAAATATTACTTCGAGCTACTGCGTGTTTCGGAAGGTACGTTAAGCCGTTGGGCCCGGCTGCATTTTCCTTACTATTCCCCTAATCTTCCAATACGCATTGGACCAGCGTGGAGGGTCATGGCCCGTCCTCTTTAACCACCCATAAGGAAGTACTGAGCCCCTGCACTGGGGTCGTAATAGGGCTGATGATGATGATTATGGTTGAATATAAATAAATTCAACTTTTAAGGTTTATCTAAGTGAAGATTCTAGTATTATATATTGTTTTTATTTTTTATTATTGTATTTTATATCCTAAAACTGTATCTTATTTGTCTCATGCTTGTACCAGAATAAATAATTCATTCATTCATTCATTATTATATTGAATTTTGAAATCGTAAGTGTATTATTTAAAAACAAAAAGAAATTTTATGTTCACCACTTTGTATTATTTTTTGCTCTACTGACTTTCCATTTGTTGGTTAAATACTGCTTATCTGAATCGGTCGTAGGAAACAAAACGACACTCCTCTCTTCTTTTACTCGAAAAGAGCATGGGCTCAGTGGGTGATTTAGTAAGTAGAGTAATACAGTTACATAATATGGTAAGAAGGTAACAGTTAATAAGTTCTAAGGGTTGTGTAAGTTAACTTGCCGGTTCTTCTCAGTACAAGGTCTCCCGCCGTAGTTTTCTGAACCGATGGCGTAATTTTCGACTTTCACAAGTGCTCTGTAAAAGCCTAAACTGAATAAATAATTTTGATTTGATTTAAACTCACCAACATGGCGACGTTGGGCATATTGACGTTGATATCTGCTGGGTTCGCGATGGACTCCTCCGGGAGAAACTTAGCCCTCGCCCTCGGGGTATACCTCAACACATGCGCCTCGTCGTCTATCTCCAAGTCTTCATTGGTGCGCTGCTCTCTGTGAAGATATTGTCTTTTAAACTAATATAAAGTAATAATCACATTGTTTCAATATGCAAAATAAAGGCAACATTTTATAAGATTTGCGTTTTTATTTGCAGAATTTTATTGTAGCATCATTTTGACAAAAATATTTTATCAAAATTGAATGTATTTTTTGAAAACCGAAATATGCACGGTAAATATACTCACTGAAGATTCTGAAAAGTACTCGAAAACTTATACATAAACTAATAGACTGACTAACTAATCTCGTTAGGTAATAAGTATCTAGTATCTATAATATTTATATAGAAAAAATATGACAAAAGTAAAAGTAAAAACAATCTTTCTATTTGTTTCTTGCATTAGTTACATAAATGTAAGAACATAAAAAATAATATGTCTTTTTATGTACCTACTTATCTAATTAATAACACTTGGTTTTGAAGAAGAATCTTTAATTTTATAAACCAGTTTCCAAAAAACTTGTTAGAGTAATGTTCCTTCGTCTCAATGACGTCAAAATCACGCCACACTGCGGCTATCAAATTATAGTGGTACAGGTACAAGTAGTTACAAAACACTGATGTTCTCATCGCACATGTAGTTGTAATGAAGTGTAGATAAATTATTTTTTTTATATTTCATGTATCATCCATAAATTTTGATATTATCTAAGATAACCATGGAGACAGACTAGTACGGGCGGACTACTGTCCTAATTATTATATATTCGAAAGTTAAATATCCAAATATATACTAATAAAAGAAGATAGGAACACGGCAATGTAGAATTAGACAATTCTCCAAAATACAATTCGGTTAGTGGACATTTGTTAGTATACGTTTTATGGTATCTGGTTGTGTGACGTAATGGAACACATTGCAGCTCAGGAAATAGTTTTTTTTTTGGACAGAAACTTTATAGTAACGTCCATTTTCTAGAGAACTTCAGATAGCTCATTTAAAATTAACTCACGCATAATGCTTGTAATCGGCCAAAAAAGCCCTATAAAAGTAATAAAGGATATTTTACTTACAGATTAAAATGAGCCATGTATGATCTTTAGCTCGCTTTTATATGTGTATGGTTTATAAGTTGTCCCAATAAATAAACTGATTCGTGACTTAGTCCTTCGACACCAGACAATGTGGTTTTCGTGAACAGAATGCATCCATACCACAATTTGAAGATTGTGTACGATTATTTATAAGAAAAGGTTTTCTTTGGGTGAGATAATACGTTTTACGGTGACTGTACGCTACAGTCAACCAGTTTCCTAAAGATAACACATCACAATATGCGTAAGTAATTACCGATGGTGACATTTGACACGAATGTTAAGTTTATTAAAACTATGTGCGCGTCGATTTATATGGATTTTTTTTTACGGGATAGGCAGCAGACGAGCAGACGGATCACCTGATGGTAAGTGATTACCGTCGCCCATGGACACCTGCAACACCAGAGGGGCTACAAGCGCGCTGCCGGCCTTTGAGGGACGAATATGATCATAGGGAGGGAAGGGTTGAGGGTTAGAGGGAAGCGAATAGGGAGGGGTTGGGCCTCCGGTACCATCACTCATACGACGAAACACAACACAAGCGTTGTTTCACGTCCGCGTCGGTTTTCTGTGAGGCCGTGGTATCACTCCGGTCGAGCCGGCCCATTCATGCCGAAGCGTGGCTCTCCCACGGGCAATTGAACGAATTGAGATGTTCTATCTATATGTATCTTCACGATATATCCATTTAAATTATTTTTTTTTAGATTTCAATTCTAATTATTTGAAAACATAATTTTATTTTATCGATATTAGGATTTTTATGTTAATGAAATCTTTTCTCTCTTAATAATTTTCACGATTGAAAATAATGATAAAAAAAATCACGAAGATTCTGAATATTTTATTAATATAAAAAAAACTATATTAAAAATATTTTTCTGTTGTAATCTAATGAAATGTAACGTGTTTGTGTTTTTTGGCAAGAGTTAAATCAATTATATATTTACGACCAACAATTTTTTTTTTTATATAAAACGTAGGTCATGTAACATAACTTATGTTTGATCAATTTTCATTCGTAATACTATATTTCGTTTCTAGATAAACAGAAGCAGACCTGCTTTTGTGAATAAAATGTGTGTAATAACTTGTGATTGGTTTCGCATTAGAATAAAATTTTGTTTTATTGCTTGTATTTTGATAAAAAAAATCAGTGCATTCAAAAGGTCATTGCGTAAACTGGAATTGGCGTTGTGTGCACCGGTGTATACTACCCATTCATCGTTGCGACAAGAGTTATAGACATACGTCAATAAATAGTAATAAATAATACTCGCAAGTAAGTGAACGGTCCTACTTCTTCCACCTTCAGCTTGGTGTCCTGGCCAGATAGGAACTCATGTGTGTTGGTGACATTGAACAAGTACACAGCTATCTTTATCCCGGGGGAGTCCCGGACCTCCAGCAGATGGTAGATCTCCGAGCCATTGCTCAACTTTGTCCTCTGCAAAGAAAAAAAGCTGTTGTAGAAACGTACGGAACGATTTATCTGTTATAGAAGAAATGAAACGTATAAGAAAAATTTAGTTTTGTAATCATTTTAAGATTACTCTGAAATTTTTTTGCTAGCTGTGTTGTCGGAAAAATTTAAATAATTTAGTTTTACATAATTATGCATTTCCGGTTGTTGATTGATCTTGCAGAGACTTATCTAAACATTGACGAAATATAATAATTACCGGCAAAAATAAGAAGTATACTTGAAAATTCCAAAATACAATGGGTAATACAGATGTGCGGCAAGAGAAAGGTCTTGTCTTAAGCACCTCATCTGGTTGACTTTTCAAGTATTGTATATAAGTTACCAAATCTTTTAGCGTTATGTAATTTATCTAATAACAGGGTATTCCTTTTAAAAAAGTATAGGAAAACAAGATGTCGGTGACAGTACTCTACTATTTGTAAACTTGGAGGTTGTACCGAAAGTTTTAAAAATTATTAGCATAGATGAAACTTACATGGTTTTTGACTACTGTAATGGGGTTTATAACTATAACCAGTAGACCAAACAGTATGAGGCACAGCCCTATCGTACCAAAGGTTAGTAATTTTCCTGTAAAAAAAAAACATGACATTAAAAAAGGAGTAACCAGTAAGAATAAATCAAATAAGACTATTTCTTCTCTATCTGTATGAAATGTGCAGACGTCATGTTTATAATGCATAATTAGTTATTACATATCAAAATATGATTATTTTAGATTTTTTTAATACTAAACATAATAAAAGGAGAATGGGCAATGATGTATGGAGTTTCGTTTCAAATTTATTTTTTTTGTGCCATGATGAAACCTACATCTTTTTGTAGGGTTTTGGCCTTAGATTCAATTACCAAAAAAATTATTACTCTAATTCGACGGATTCATGAGAAATAAACTGCCGAAGTTCAAGTAATAGTAATCTTAATGTTATTGGTAAAACACAATTCACACACGAAAAAAAGAGTCTCTGTCTCGAATATGTTCAGTTTCTATAGTTACGGAGGAACTCGAAATTCACTCGACATAAAACTTAAAGAAAGAAGAAAATCACTAAAGCATTCAACAAACGAACTTAACAGAACAAAAGGCAATACTGTAGTGTAGAGCTGTCAATTGTGTCAATGTATGCCTTTCATTAAGCGGGTCATGCATGTCATTATTGCCATTCTAAAAATGTTATAAATCGACTATTTTTAATAGACTTGATTCGATTAAATCATTAAAACTAATTATTTATTTATGTTCTTAATAATGAACAATGTAATTATTTTTACTCAACAATATACTATTAACTGCCATAGAGCATAGGTTATTAATTACAAATAAACATGTTGGGGGTTTAAAATGCGACAACTGTAAAAATGTCATAATACATGTGGTACTTGATGAGACCTTGCAAACCATGCATAGCCTCTTCAGCCACATAAAACGTTTTTTATATTAATATGTTTTGTTTTGGCAGCACTGAAACTCAATTAATCGATTCCGCTCATAAGGTTTCATCCAGTTGTTTCATCATTTTAAATGTTTTTTTATCTTTCATGTTTCAGGGCTCTTGCCTATTCAAATACAATATCGATTTATGTAATTGATGTAGATTTTTAATACTGGCAACATTAAAAAAAACCATAAAAATGGTGGATATTTTAGAGAAGTAGTAAAATCAGTTACCTTCCTTTATTTTAAACACATTATACTCCGTCGAAGTTAGGGCTGCATATTTTAAGGTATTTAGGTAAAATTAAAAACTTATTTTTTGAAAGAGGTTTGATATCGTCACAAAGCGAAACCACATTTGCCCATTCTCCTTTGCAAGTGCATTGCGCGAGTTGAGTTATAGATGGAGACCACTTTTGAAAAATATTACTGAGCATAACATTTTTGAAAAGACGAATATATTTTACAATTACACTGAAATCTAAATTGATAACAACGTAGCTTTAGTTCTGCTGCTATCTTTTTTTTGCAAGCGCATAACTTTGGGGGCGTTTTCCTGCGAATTTCATTTGAAAAAAACGTATTCAATAACGCACGAATTACTTCGACCTTTTAACGCAACTGATGCACAAAAATACCATGAGCTAACGCGTATGAGACAGGGGAATATCATCGTTGTCACACTGGTCACAGGCAAATTGTACCGCAAAATAGAGTATTCATTGCGCTATTTCTTTTTATGATATACCACCTATTTAGAGAACCGCTGAATTGTGAAATCAATTATTTAGACAATTATGCTTACGTTTATTATCTTTCGGCGATTTTAGACGATTGACCATTTTGAGTTTCCAAATCTGAAACAAATAATTATTGATTTGTTCATTGCATCATGATATATATCACCAGTCCCATATTGATTAATTGGGACTAATAGTATTTTTAAAATTATTTTTTTGTATATGATAGATAAAATATAAATAATGCAGTTCCGTGCCTAAAACGCAGTAATAGAAAATACAAGAAAGGTTTATATGTTATATATCTTTAAAAAAAATCACTGTTTATGATCTTGAATATTGAATGCTAAGTGTCAGAAAAGTTATAATATTAAAATAATTCACAAATTTCAAGTTGAAAACATGACAAATAAATTATTTGAATTCATTTTAATTTTTGAACCCGTATTGATGCTTCTAGTATTTTACTAATTCGTTTATTAAACTGTTTTGTAAGGTATTACAATAACTAAAATGCAGTAAATAGGTCATAATTGTTACTGCATATTATGTAGGTGGTAATCTTAGCGTATTTTCAGATACATTTGCAAATTTGGTGCCTTGACTTTAAAAGAAACAAAAATGAAATACTATTGCTGGTCGTAGGAAAAAAAATGAATAAGTTAGGATTGTTAGGTTTGAATTGGGCTTTCAGACAATACGAACAACTAAAAAACGCATATTCTACTGTTACTGCTGTTTAAGCTCGGGAGGGCAGAATATGACATTAATCAAATATATATGTAATAATACACATACATTACATATTCTTAAGTAAAGTAAGTACTAAATTTTCCGATTTTAAAGTTAAAGCCAAAATAATCTTTATCCAAAGAGGCTTCTTAAATGTATTGTTGAATCGTCCAACATTTTTTCCCTACCACTCGTTCAGGACGTCTTTTGGCTGATAAGAAGAACGAGCAAGAAACTCACCAGCTCTAATGGGAGTAACGATATTCTCAAAACCATGTCATTGCCAGATCAATACATTATAAATAGAGAAAAACAAGATCTTATAATGATAACAATAATTTAATAATTGCAACAAGATAATTTTGAGATATATGTAAGGGGGCGTCCATAAATTACGTGAGGTGTTTTTTCAAATTTTCTGACCCTCCCTCCCCCCCTGGTGAGATGTCGTGAGATTTTGTTCAATCCCCTCCCCCATCCCCAAATCTCACGTGAGATTTTTCAAAAAGTGGGTTTCTTATTTAAACACGTTGGATTTTTTAATAAAAAGAAAAAAATAATAATTCGCTTCGTACTTTTATTTACGACTAGTTAGAGACTAGCAATCCATATTGCTCTTATTCATCGAGTCACACGTTCAGCTGACAGTGGCGCGAAAACAAAGGACGGGCTACATTGTACCGTAAATTCAAATTAAATTGAGCTATTTGGTATAAAACGAGTATAGTGGTTTGACAATCAGGAGTGATGTATAATGTCAAAGTACGAATGAAATTATTTTCTTTCCAACGAATAGTGAATGATCTTAACTTTAGACTTGTCACTCTATGAGGGATTCCCCGCACCGAGCCTTATTTTAAAAATTGCGTGATATTTGCCGAGACCCCCCCTCTCTCCAACGTGAGATTAGATGAGATTTGACTCGACTCCCTCCCCCCCTTAAACATCTTACGTAATTTATGGATGCCCCCTAATAAGTTTAGAAGAAATAAACTATCACGTTGTTCTTATCTGTTATATAAACGAATACCTTATAATAAACTTTTTTAATAAGTATTTTTAATAGTAGGTAGATTTAAACTGCATGATATCTAATTGTTGTATTTTGCTTGGGACCTTATTGTAGAAGCGCACACAAAGACCCCTGAATAGTTAAGCTCGCGAAAGTTGCTTAGCGACGATTTCAGACAAAAACAGATATTTTTTTATTGTATTAAATTATCAATAAGTACCCGCGATATTAAAATTAAATTATTTTGCTGTTTAACTTCAAAGACACCACACTTCAACAAAAAGCTTGGTGATCTCCCAATAACATAATAAATACACAAAAATAACATACAAAGTGGTTTGCCAGTTGGAAAAATACATCATACATTAAATGACGAATGTAAACAATTTAAAATAATACGTGTGCGTTTTTATAAGAATATTTATTAATAATGAAAGAAGATTATAGTATTTTTTATAAAGACTAATATGCATTTTATGTAGTAAGTCGAAAACATCTGTGATAAGTTCATGGAACATTCTTTAAGATTGTACAACCGCCTCAAACTGGACACTTATAGTTATTAATAGAAGCTAAAAGAGCTCAGGTAGTATTTTTAGACACGATTAGGTATAAAAACTAAATAATTTCCGCTAATAACCGTAATAAAAGAACGATTAGAGTTCGCACATATGTTATTGAACTATCGCAATCTAATTGGGCAGGGGAATTGAGAAGTTTCATGATGTTGATATTATTATATTTACATGATATTAAAAAAATATAGGTCAAAATTAAAATAAATCAGAAAAAAAGTAGAATCCGTTACAATACAATACAATACAAAACTCTTTATTGTTCACATTAGATAATTAATTACATAATTTATAGTAAATTAACACTATTATGAAAATAAATACATACACCTATTAATATCAAAACAGGAAAAAGCGATAATACGGCAGCAGTAATTATATTATTGTGTGAGATAGTATTCTTTAACATATTTTTTAAATACTTGTAAGGATTGCGCTCGCCTGATTGAAAGTGGAAGTGAATTCCATAGACGAACAGCTTGTACGGTAAAAGAAGAATCAAAAAATGAAGTGTGATGAGATGGAATCGCAAGACTCAGGTTCTCCGATGATCGCAAAGAATAGGAATTTGAGCAATGCAGAAAACTGAAACAATCTTTTAGATAGCAAGGGTAACTAGTATTGAACAATATGTTATAGAGAAGGGATAATATATGAAAATTCCGGCGAAGACGTATAGGAAGCCACTTGAGTTCAGAACGAAAATGAGAAACATGGTCATATTTGCGCAAACCAAATATGAAACGGACACAAAAGTTTTGTAAACGCTCAAGTTTATTAAGCTGGTCCTCCGAAAGATCAAGATAGCAGGCGTCGGCGTAATCGAGGATAGGAAGCAGCAAAGATTGCGCTAGCGCAGCTTTAGTGGCAGTGGGTAAGAAGTTTCGAAGTCTTTTCAATGAAGCGGCTGATGCATATAATTTGCGGCTGACAGCTTGCAGTTGTGCATCCCAATTCAAATGACTGTCCATAACTATCCCAAGGTTCCTTACCGTTCGACTAAAAGGAATATCAATGCCATCAAAAACCACTTTCGGTAGTGCATGTAGATCAATTTTAGAAATCATTCTGGAGCTACCTGTAATCATGACTTGAGTT